TAATGTATTATACTTACTGTCCGAGCTGCTATGCTCCGACTCTTGGACTAGAATCACTTGAGGTATCGTTGTTCTCAGATTTTCGGACAAACTGTCACTTTCGTACCATCCAGCTAAATCCATATCCTTTATTACATGGAAGCTGCCACCGGTGTATTGGCATAAAGGACTCCCCTGAAAATTATATTATAGTGTAAAATAATACAGACAGACAAAATTATTTTAAAAGAAATATAAAAGAATTAAAATCATACAAACAAAATAAAACACATAATAATGAATTACATATTTTTTTACTATGTAAAGTAATAACTTACATATATAAGAAAAAGATTGAATTGTTCAAAGCAACTTAAAGATTAATTATTTTATCAAAATAATTATTTACAGATTTATCTGGCGGTTCCGCAGTAATAACTGCCATCTCTAGAAGATAAATAGCCAATGCCATAACATGTTCCGATATGTTACGTCCATTCACAGCCTTATAGAGTATTATCAAGATCATAGCATGAAAAACTCTGGAACGTAGAACTATACGAGGATCATCATAGTCCGACGAAACCGGAGCCGGTTGTCTAAATGGTGGCCAAAGAGTTGCATTATTCTTTAGCTTGCCTGATTGTTTTACGCTGCAACAGAAAAATATAATATTGGTAAAAAATAGAATATCTCAAACACATGCGTTTTACCGATAAATTTGATACATACTATTCTGTGAAACGATCCATAGATATTTGGAAGTCTCTCCTATGAACCGCTCTCAACAGTACATGTAAAGGATCAAATAACTCTTCCCATACGCGACCCTTTGGTCCATACATACCCTGTTGCATATTGCCACTTGCCTCGAGATTTGGAGCTCTATATTGCGCTACCTATAAACACATTATGCTGTTATATAAAAGAGAATCAACAACGCTATTTAAAATTTATTTATATGCACACACATATATGTATGAAATACAAAAAATTGTACGTAATTGTATGATTAAGTAACATTTATATGTATCTAAAAATAGAAATTAGAATAAAATAATTCTTTCAAATGTACATGATACGTGAACTTACATCAGCTAGAACAGATTCAAAGTCTCTGTTTTGAGTAGTTCCACAGCGTTCCGGCATTAGTTCCATCAATTGACTATGCGTCTTATCACTCATACATAGTAAGGTCACCATTTCAAGACGAGACATTTCGGGATCCGATAAACCTGATGTAAAAAAATATAAATGTCTTAACATAAGTATCTTATTCCTGTTTTAATATTCTTCTATTGTTTCAAGGATTATAAAATTTATTATTACTAAAAAAAAGTGAGACATTTTTAAGATAATCGAATTAAAACCGATTAGAAACCGCATTAAAAACTCACCAAGATTTGTTCTGACGTTGATTAACGTAGCCAAAAACGTTAGGCAACTTTCCAACATCGGAGTATCATGCTCGCCCTCAAGGTATTCATTTTGTGGGGCATGATACAGGCATAAACTCATCCATTCCACCACGTGAAATCTAAAATAAAAATAAATTTTTTTTTGTATTCTCACATATATGGTCTAAAGTAAGATTCTTATTGTTTAAATTTTTTTAAAAATAAATTAAAACGTTTGCATTATTGATTCGACGTAAAAAGAAACGAGGTAGAGGATATTACTTTTCGATAACAGTTTTCAGAAAGACATCTGGCATTAATTTTGTGGCGCAGATTTGCAGCAGATACAGATCCGCGTCCACCATAGAGTTGCAAAAATTGCACTGTATGTAGGTCATTGCTTGGCCCTTTATTTGCAATCCATTGCGAACCCACAATCCATTTAAAATCTCATAGAAGGCCACCTGAAAGCAAAAATGCACAAAAGAAAACGTTATTCATTATATTACATAAACAATCAATGTAAAAAATAAAATATTATCTTGTACTGGATATTCTGTAACTATTCATAAAAATTAATATAACTATAATGTATTATTATAACTATGACAACTTATAACTATACTGTAATATTACGATTGCTGTAGACATTCTCATAAAACTGTCGTGCAAAATATCTAGTTGGCCTTCATTTATCTCTACTGCATCAATGTCATTAAATTGAGTTCGCAAAGCACATTTTTTGATGGAAGATATAAATTTAATCTTTTCATATCTCGGGTAACATACAGTATATAAGCCAATTGCACACAAACTTACATAAGAGCATGTCGCATAACATTCTTATGTAAACATATGAAATATAAATTTAAAACCTCGTTTTATAGTAGATTTATTTACTCGTGCGCAGAGGCAGCGTAACATGTACTACGCAAATTAAGCACGACATGAGACTATTTTTTAGAGACGCCTACCATTGCGTTTGTTGTATCTGTACAATGAAATTGAAATATTTTTTCAAATAAATTCTGAAATACACAAAAGTCACTGGATCGATATAATGAGCAGTTATAATTCGCTACTCTTTTATGCATATCAAACTTTTTAGAACAAAAGTTTTAATCCCAGTAATACTAACAATGGGTGTACATTGATGTACATCTTGTGATTCTTATAACATTCTCTTTCTACTTCTTTGTTGATTTTCTAATCTTTTGTATTGAACAATTGTCCCACATGACTTGTATCAGGAGACATGATAATGCCTCGGCGCTAAGCCAAGCGCAGCAATAGAGATACACGAGGTGTTAGATAGTTGAATGTAACTTTTTTTTTGCTGATTTTACCAATTAATTTTTTAATTTAAGAGAGCAATTTTTAATTATTTAAAAAAAATTTAAGAAATATTTTAAATAAAATAGTAATTATTGCGTGAACATAGCAGAGACAATTTTTAGGAAGAATAAAAAAATTAACTAATATCTAGTCATTTAGTTCATTTTTAAATAATTTTTTTTAGCTATTAATTATCTTTCTTGCTTTTAAAATATTGTAAATTAATTTATTTTTGTGATTAATAAAGATAATAAGCTATTAAGAATATTTTATGAGAATATTTTATTGAGAATATTTTATGAATTTTTCAAGTGGTTAAAAGAAATTTTGATAATTTAAATATATTTTTGTAATCAAACAACTTGATGGTATATTCTATATATCAATAGCATGTAATTAATTTACGCGACAAAAAAATATAATGCGCTATATTAGAAGAAATAGAATACGTTATTAAAAGAAATACGCTTTTAGATTATTCAGAAGATATTAACTATTTTCTTGCCATTGATTTTGAATTTCTCAACTTCTTTTTCTTCTATTACCATATAAATAAATAATGTCAAATCTAGATAAATAATGTCAGTGTTTTTTATCAATTGTTGTTCAATTAGCAGGGGTGCGCTCAGGAATTACGCCTAGATAACTCTGGAGTGTTCTAGTGTGCGCCTTAGGTGTTCAAAAACTTCAGGTATAAACTTACCCAAAGCGTTCAGAAACATTTTGGATCACTCCGAGATTACTTTATCGTCAACCTACTTTTGAATTGGGTAAAAATCGTCCCGCATGCGCACTGCAAAATCACGTGCCTAATGGGACAAAGACTAGGGTTAAGTTCCACGATTATTAAAAGATTCACTTCTTTTTGAAGGAAAAAATGGAAAATTTAATGATTAATAAAACTGATTTTGAAGTTATGCAACTGAAAAATCTTTATTGTGTAATAACAATTATCCTTTTATAACCTTCTCGTTTCTAACAGGCAGGGACACCTCAATTGCGTCATCCAAGGCGTTCAGAAACTCGTTCATTTAGATCACTCTGGGGCGCACCCAGAGTTTACCTCACTCTACCAATACCCTGATTTCCTGAACGCATCCCAGTTTTCCAACTCATTAATTTCAAGTCATATGTTGAAGGTTTAATGTTTTTTATAAATATTGACAAAATATATCTCCCCTAACATCTCCTTAAAGCCTATTCTACAATGTGTTTTTTGCTTTCTGCTTTTTGCTTTTCGCTATTTTTTACATCTTGTTGCTTCTTATCCGGTTTTTTGTTTTATGTCGCTCGAAATAAAAGCTAACGAACTTCGGAAGAAGCAGGAAACACGTAACAAGAAATGCAATTGTCGATTAAACGGTTGCAAAGGGGGAAAAAGCAAGAAGTAAAAAGCAAGAAACAAAGAGCACATTGTAAAATAGGCTTTAACATCCTTTTAAAAACAAAAGATGTTAGGAGATATATTTTGTCAATATTTACAAAAAACAATAAACTTTTAATTTCGATTTTCCTATGCTATTTGAAATTTGTTTTCTTCATAAATATGATTTTTTAAATGCAATATTTAAATAAGCGCCTTATTATACGTAATAAAAAGCGTGGATTTAAATACTGCATGGAGACGCCGAATAGTCTAGCGTCGTGTTTATATCTATGTCTGATAAAATAATCTGTGAGATATGCTCAATATTCTTTTCTCTCTTTTGATTTTTCTTTGCTAATAAATATAATAAATAGCGTAATATTGATAAAAATATATACGTATGCTTATAAATTTATTTTTTTTATATTATACATACTATATATACAATTATATATATATTTTGTATTATACATACTATATATACAATTATATATTGTATATATTTTGTAACATGTATTTTATATTAAAAATAATAATAATTTATTATTTTATTCAATCAAACTCTGTGTGTGTGATTTTAAATTGTTTGAAAAATAATACTGTGTAAGAGTAAATTTTTATTAAAATTTGTATTTTTAAACTAGTTTTATATTATTTTTTTTCCAATTTTGTCTGGATAGAATTTTAGATTTTAGGTAAGAGATTTTTAGATATAGCAACCCTATAAGCAACCGAATTCGCTACAAAAGATTTTGTTCCTCGTAGCTAAACTCTTTCCGCAATTCTCGCCCCTCCTCCTTCACCATTCAATTTCGTATAATAGTAAGAATGGGGATGTGCGATAGGTGTATCGATACGCGTATCGATACGCATATCATTACGCGAAAAAATCGATTTTTTGCAAAAATGTCGGTTACAAATCGCCTTTGAAGTTCAAAGGCGATTTCTAACCGACGTTTTTGCGCTGTCTAAATTTCTTGAGATAAAATCTCACTCTAAAAGAGTAAAATTACTCTTGTAACCGACATTTTTGCAAAAAATTTATTTCTTCGCGTAATGATACGCGTATCGATACGCCTATCGCACATCCACTAAGAATGGGAACAAAGGTATATGTGTATTCATATTGCGACGAGAAAAGACGTAAACTAAAACGAACAGATCAATTCCATTCATATCTTGTATTCTCGTAGCTGCGAGCTGCGAGTGCAATACCCCCTACCATTCACGTCTGTTACCGTCCTCGGCCCATAACGGTCGCCCCGTCTGAATCGAGTGAACGGCGAGCAAACAGTCGTTAGTCCTAGCGTGTTAGCGTCGTCGATCGCAGACGGCGAATGCGTGCGCTGTGCGCCATCCTCCCGACATCTTGATCTTTGTCGTCGCGTCGTTTCCCGCTCGTATTCTTTTCCCAAATGGCCAGGGACCATCAAAGGATAATCTTACTCGTCGTCCTGGCGAGCGCAGGCTGCGTCTTTGGAATCGGTATAAACGACGCGATCGATCTGATCAGGTTGGGTCGCCAAGCCGTGGTGGACGTGTTGGAATCCTGGGAGATGATCAACTCGAGTTTACCTTCTGACATGAAGGCCGGCGAAGAGCTTGTATTCATGAAAATGATGGAACGTCAACTACTTAAGCGGATGGATCAGGTCTCCAAGAAGATCGATGAATATCAGGCGCTCGTGGAGGACAAAAGCGATACGATTCTGTCGCAATTGCTGTTGCAACTTCCTATGCAACATAGGCTCGACGACAGCCTGAAGGAACTGGATCATTACCTCGGTCAAGTGCAGGAGCTGTACACACTCTTCGAGATGTACGCTGACAATCCGGACAAGTACGAGAAGTACACAATGTTGCAATTTGCCAAGACATGCGTGTCGCCAAGACTGGGAGAGTTACCGGACGTTTTAAAGTCGATACACAGGCTCATGGTGCCGTCCGAGCAACAGGTGTACAACAGGAGCATCCTCGTGCTTCTAGCTAATCAGATGCAGGTGGGTATTTGGCATGTGAGAAGTTTCTGAGAACGTGGTCGAAGAAAATGAATTCCAGGCCAATATTAGGCAGCTTGGAGAATAAATATAAATTGTTTTTCTATTGGAATATCTTCCTCCCCCCCTTTAACGTTAATGGATTCGAGGCTTCCTATTGTCCCTCATGAGAGAAAATATTATATAGCATTAGATTTGTTTTGTTGTTACTTAAAATATCCTACAAAAATTTTTAACAAGATCAAAGATCTGTTTGTATTGCTTGCACTTTTTGCACTCAGAATCTTCGCTTTTTTTTTTCTCTTCAACGGCTAATTATATAGGTATTTATCTCGATTTAAGTGCAAAAATTTTTGGGAATTTCAAGTAACATGAACAGATCCAAATATATATTCGAGTGTTGAAAAAAGAGAAAGTGAAGACCCTGAGTGCAAAAGGTGCAAGCAACGCGAACAGATTTATTGATTCAGAGAATAGTATATATTTTTTAATAAAATTTTCCAAGAACAATGCTAATCTTTTTATCTTTAATATTAACACTAACGATCTAAACTATAAACAAATGTTTACGTGATTTAAAAACGACCGTTTCCTGGAAAGAATTATAGTGATTCACTCGCTTTGCTTTGTTTCATTCTTCGAGGGCCGATTAAATTTTTGTCACCGCCTAATATTTATTTCTACGAATTTAATGTTGTGATAACATACATACACACACACACACACTTAAAATATTTACATTATTAACACATAACTTATTAGAAGTAAAATATATGCCAAACGGATTTACTTCTCCTAAAAGCAAATTGATTCAACAAGATTCTATGTATTTATATGCTTCTATTAAAAATAATCGTTTATTGCATTGCATTGAAGCTTGAATATTTTAAAGACATAAGAAAATTGAATATTCCCTCAGTCGTTTAGGAATGTGTACTTTAATAAACAAATAAAAATACCGTTCCTCTTGAAAGTACTACAGATACGTGTGACTCATTCTAAACAGGCAAAAAATGTCTTTCACTTCATCATGTGTTGCTACATCATATATTGCTATATTTATAATTATTATATTTTACATTTTATTACTATATTTAGTTATTTATTGTTGAGTTTATTATACAAATTTTTGATTTTTTTTGCATCTACTTTATAATTTATTATTTTGAGTTTATTATATGAGGTATTATATGATTTCATATAATTATAGGTTTCATTTAATTATTATACATTATTATATTTCTTGATCTTATTATTACGTTTATTATATATTGTATCACTTGCTTTTATCTTCATTATCCAATTTATTATTTACGCAGCAATAAAGGGTGATATGATAATTATACATGCATAGACACGAGTGCAAACAATAACACGTTTGCAGAGAGTGTCTAAAGAACAGTAGGATAACACACACACGTGATAAACAGGAAGAACTATCATCTGCGTGATTTTGTGCTGATTTAGAGAAGTCACGTCATACAGTAACATAGAAATTAGTCACGAGTCAACGCCGTCCTTCTCATCGACATCGGTAGCAAGAGGAATTTAGATTTCAGGCGACAAAGCGCAGAAAGTGAGAACGTATTTGATACGATGAATTGATGAGCCCGAGGATCCCTTGTTGTGAGTGAGTCGTGGTCTGATAATATCGTAACAAGAATCCCCCTGTGTCCATTAAGTGCGGGCAGTGGGCATTGCGTAGCGAGAAATGGTATCACACTTTGGATCAAGTGACGGAGTGACTTTATACTCCGTATTTATTACCTATAGAAAGAAAAGGGAAATTATGTCGACGGAAATTCGTCATTACTCGATACTCCGGATACACCGTGGCAAATGACACGAATTAGTGAATTGACCCGAGTCATTTGATTAAAGCTTTTGCGCATTAATTGATACACCAGAAAGGTATATGGGTTGTAATTCAGCACTTATTTTCAAATCATCGTTTAGACGTCGAAGACACTAAATTCGTCTTGAAAAAGAAGAAGGAAGATTACAGATATAAACTCAATTGTGATTAAAATTAATACTCTCTATAGCTCTTTGTAATTTTCATTTTTGGAAATGGCGAACTTGGTATAGCTGGATAACTCTTCAATCTAGAGTTAAAGTTTCCTGAAATGCGAAGATATAACCAGATTGCAAATAAACAATTTTTATTTATTTTTAGCTGAACTTTAGACCAAACAATCAAACGAAACCATGTCCATTTATAGCAGAATGTGAACACAAGAATCACAAAAACAGACGTGAAATAAATGACAAACTTCCTATGAAACTTTCCTATACGTTAACTTTTCATAATGTATAAAACTGTCATCTAATATTTTTTTTTATTTAGCATTTTAAATTCTCCATGCAACCATCGTGAGAGTATTTTGCGTGCGTATTTCTTTTGCAACTGCTGTACTCTCTTCTCCAAGTGTGAATGTACCGGGTGGACAAGAGGAGGACGCGGAACATGCGCATAAGATACACAACATTAAAGTCTGAATAACGTGGGGGCTTGTGGAGACCAGAGGTGGGCAAGAGACATTGGTGTATAATGTGAAACTCAGTCGAGCACGGTCGGTCACACGGTAGTGTTGCTCTTACTTGCTGGTTCCGAAACAGTAAGCGGGGCTTGTTACCCGCATTCCGCGGATACGCGAACTGCGTACAACCGTGTCACGAAAAGGTGCCTCGTTGGCGAATTTTATTAGCGAAATTTTGTCTCTCTTAATGGATTTCGAAATTGCGACAATCGAAAACATTAAACACTAAGAGAAACGAATTAAAATGGACATTGTGTGAAAAAGGGTGTTAAATGAAATTATTTTGAACGCGTATGTTATCAGGAGATTGTAACTTAAACTTTAAAAAACAGGATCTGAGAAATATCTGGAAAATATCAGCAGACGCAGTATTATCTCGGGTGTCAAGTCAATCAATTAGACTGTATTAGACCGACTCCCGAGTCGGGTATATTTAAAATACACCGTGAAGTTTTTATGAAGCTTTTTATTTTTTAATTATTATCTCTCGAAGCTATTTTGTCATTTTAACGATTAGATAAACGTTAAAAAGATTAAAAGCATCCGAAAAATTTTTTGGATGCTGCATCAAAATTTTTGTTATTTAGTACCTCGTTTCATTATCCTCAGTTTAATTTTATTTGAGTATTTTCTCAACAAATATATTATATTTGTTATTATATAAGTCTATTTTCTTCAATATCACTGTCAATTTTAATCTCCAATTCTTAATTCGCATTAATTCGCAATAATTTTAGTTCCTAGGATTACATTAATACGGAATGTAGATTAATACTGTTTATCGCGATAATGATCCGATATTATAAGCCTTGCGGCTTCGTGAAACTGAAACTTGAAGTAAGCGGAAGCTACGAAGGACGAAGAGAGACAAAAAATACGAAAGAAAAAGAGCTTTACATTCGCGAAATATTCCACGATGTTGTTGCAGCTAACAGGAGTGGTTATTTAACCATACTGTTTGTGGGAGAAAAACAGCGTCACCCAGTAGTTCCTAGCCGCTCTAGATTATGTATTAACGCGTCATTAGCCGCCGCTGCCTCTTTCCTCTCTTGTGTCATGACCCCCCTGCTATCATGATTGTAACATCTTCCTTCTCCATCGTTCTCAAGCTCACTGACGCGAAAAGATCGTTCGATTTTATCTTGCGGATTGTTGTCGAGGATGTAGAATTGAGAATGTAGAAGTATTAACACATACGAGATAATAAAAATTTATATTGAATAATACTAACAACGAAATAGACGTAATAAATTCAGGCGTTAATAATAGCAGTTCACAGTGCAATTATATTGTTAGAATCTTCAATTTTCTTTCTCCAGATCAACACTCATCGAGAAAACAAGACAAAGAAAGAAATTAAAATCCTGCTGAGTGGACCGTAAACAAAGTGAGTGACTCATCAGCGAAGGTTCGATTCCAAGAATGAGATACTTCACATGCTTGCTGGGAGTGTCATTGGCTATAGCAGCCTTCGCCGCGATCAAGAATGACGCGTCGTCGATCGACACAATTAGACAAGCTTTGTTATTTTTGGAGAAAGATCTCAGAGAAGATCTAGCCAATCAACAAAAGTGGATGAACGTCGAAGAGCGAGAGAAGTACCTGTATCTGATCAAAGCGTACAAAAGATTCGGCAATCAGATAGACGAGCAATTCTCTCCAGATCGGAAGGACTACCTGAACTCATTGGACTCCCTATGGCTTTGGGCCCGGGCTCAGAATGAGATCAAGGGTGTCAATGGCTTGTACGGGGTATTCCGGCAAATGCAACGTGAGATTGTCGAGCTGAATTCACCGATCAATGCAAAACAGCTCGCAAATTTCGCCGAGACGATCTTACGAGATGCGAACGCTGCGATCCCGATAGCGCTCGATCGTATCGCGAATCTGATTGTCAATGAAAAGTTGTTCATCGTGTCTTTTAAGGTATCTAAGACGGCTGCAATCCTGTAAAAAATCCCACAAATTTTTTAGGAGACATTTTTCATATTGGAAATACTTGTTTAATAAGCAGATACTTAAGGCTTTTAGTTGAGGCATAAAAGGGCTCAACACGTATGCATCGAAAGTCTAAAAAAATTCATGGCATCTCTATTGAGGATTAAATATCACAGCGATGCGTTCATTCTTGATCACAAATAACATTCAAATCTGCATAAATACATATACTCTTCAAAATATTTGCAAAGTATTCTTGTATGTGCAGGAAGCATCGAACCAAATGTGCAATGAGATGCAATCGCCGCAGCAACTGCTGTACAATTTGTATAATGTCGTGGCGTTGACGGAGATCAAGGGTTACACTATGATTCAATTCTCATATATGCTATTACGTCTGTACAACGAAGGTACGTGGTACCGATACTCACGTTTAAATATACGTCCTACATACAGTGTTTTCGACGTCGCGCGATCTGCACAGAGCAATTAAAACTAATCTTTTTTTTGGATCGCAAGTTAAAACGAAGCTAAATATAGCAATTTAGAAAAATAATAAAAACGCTCTCTAAAGAAATTGATTTTTGTTGCGCTTGATACAGATCATCGCGAATCGAGAAATCTAGTTGAATGCGATTACAATTCGAATATACCTAATCTTGATAAATCCTTTAACATAGGCAATAACTTTAGCGAGGAAATACAGACGTTGAAACACCAATACGCGATAAGAACGTCCGAGACATTAAGAGCCGTAAAAACTGCAATGGCATACGCCCCGAGAAGTCTTTGGAGGTGCGATCCACGTGTACATAAATTAGGTAAAGCCTCCTGAATAAGAGTAATACATTGCAAAGATATTAATTTATATGACTTATAATTGGATATGTATAATTTGTATGTACAATTTCTATTTAGATGAAACCTATACCGAGTTGAAGCAACTGTTCCAAGGATATATCGTAAATGAAGTGGATTTAAACACTGAAAACACGTGCAAGGAGAACTGCGCTTATTATGGATACACTAAGGTGTACGGTTGCTATCAGAATCAGTTTTGTTCGAAACAACGTAAATGTAATGGTAAGATATTGCATTGCGAGTACATTGATTCCGACATGTGGATCTGCCCCGCGGTAAGTATTTTTAAATCTCACACACATGTTGTACGAAGAATTTGTACATAATTAAGATAATATTAAAAACAACTAAAAAAAATTATGAATTATATACACTACAGAAAAATTAGCAAAATTTAATTTGTATAACTCAGAAAGATAATTAATTCTAAAATTATAACGGAAAATTAAAAATAATTATAAAATTACAATTATAATTACAAAACTGGAATAGCGAAATAAAAAAAATAGTTTATTCAAAAATAGAAAAAATATCGTAAAATAGTATGAATTTAAAAAACCTGTTTTGCAATTTAAAAAAACAATATAATAGTTTTTTCTAATCACTAATTCAATTTTTTTCACATTTAGGGCAGAAACAGTACTAGGCGATACGAATATATAGAATATGAAAATGGTCTTCATTATGGAAACTCAAAAACGTGTCCCGAAGGAACAACTAAAGTCGACAGCTGGTGGCGATGGCTTTTCTGGCATTGTAGCTACTGTTTTTGCTACTGCGACGATCAAAATTCAAATTCCGATCGATATTTCAGTCTCCGATCTGTGATGTCTGATATTTCAAACAACAAGTAACAAAAAAAATAGCCAATAACTTGAGTAATAAAAATCAACACAACGAATAAAATTAACAGAATTAATAAAATTTAATAGAACATAATAAAATTTAATAGAACATAATAAAATCAATAAAATCTATACGAAGGTATAGCTGAAAGTATAATACTTATTTTCTTATAGAGTCATAACAGGAATAAGACTGAGGAAGATAAATCAAATTATTCATATACAAATCCAAGAGGGTCAGTTACTTCCACGTGGAGGAATTGATGTATCAACAATCGAATGGCAACCAGTTGATGTCTTTTCAATCATGGACTCTCACATTAGAAGCGGCGTTGACTATCATACAATAGTATGGGAAAAACGCGCTTTAGATCTCGATAATCTGTTGGCAAAACCAGATCATCTGTTGACAGGTAATTCGAAATTGATTTTGGTTAACACATACATTTTGCGAATCTGTAATGCGAATTTCTTGGGCCAAATATAAAGAATTCTTTATAAAAAAAAATATATAATATAATATACAAAATCTGTTTTAGGCGTTAGATTCCGAATGGTTGGTAGCCGTCTAAATTTGGAAATAATGATAACTCCATTCAACTTCACATCCGGATCGTTAATTCAACCCGAAGAAAAGAGCTTTTGGCATAGTAATGACGTTACTGACAGGTGAAATTTTTCTCTCTTTTTTAGCATAATAAAGAAATGTAATCTTTTTGATGACACTAAAAACTGATTGAATATTTTTGTTTTTAGAACTGAGCTGAAATACACCGATCCCGATATACCGATTCACAGTTTCGTACCAAATGAACCGGACACCGAAGAAAATCAATATTTGAACTTCGCACCGAGCGATCGACGAAAGGACGCCGCACAAAGTACGATTCCCTTCCTTGATGTTCAACCAGTCATACCGAATCCGCCGGTGCCGTTGGCGGGCGCTGGTATCTTTCACAAGGGTCGAAAGGGTTCGGGTGGATTCGTTGCTTTGAAATTAACTACCTACGACTTCGCGCCGCACTTACAAGCTGATCTGCCACCGGCGCCGCCGGTTCTCGAAACTCCGAACGAGATAAAAGCCACGTAGAAATATTATATCTTTCACTTTATCGAAATAACGATTAAAGAACCTGTGATTTGCCAAGGACCTCAATATACGTATCGAGGTAAAAGAAGATATGTACCGAGTTATTGCATACGAAATGTTGACTTTCGAATATTTCAGCTTTAAGGAAAATTGACTGAAATTTTTGAATAAAGTATAAACACGAAGCAAGAAAAATAGATGTTGGAATTTAATTTTGGGATACGAAACATAAAAGTATGTTTCTTTATCTTGAACCCTTTCCGTTTTTAGATTCTATTTACATTTAATCAAAATGCAAAGGCAATTTCTAATTTCGAAAAATTATTTAATTAAAATGCAAAATCTCTAAAACCAATATTTCCTATGCAATGAACAGTTATCATATTTAAGTCCTATACTTTTTGTAATTACATATAGATTTTTTATTAAATCTGTTATACTCATTATTACAGTGAGAAAAAATTGCTGTTTCAAAAAAATATTAGTTAATTCAACTAAATGTAGCGGGCACGGACTATCAAGCAAATATTTGTTAATTCAAACAAATAACATATTTTAAATTACAAGATTTTGTTAATCTAAATATATAAATATTTGAACTAAATAATCATTACGAGCTAAAGCATTTAGTCAAGTTAACAACTTTTTTTCTCAGTGTAATAAAGCCATCGTTTGTCAGTATATCGTTGGACAAATCGTAACTAGTAACTTATATTATTAATCTTAAATTTGTTAAAGAATTTTATATAAAAACAATCTATAGCGAACTTATATCATTAATCTTAAACTGATTAAAGAATTTTATATAAAAACAATCTAGAATAAAGTATTTAAAGAGCAAATTGCTGCCGTTTTTTTTTGTAAGTTTTGATTTGATTATTATTAAAAAATATATACATATCAGACTTATATAAAGAAATTCCAAAAGTTTATATTATTAAGAAAGTATTTCATTTTAGGTTTAAGGTTAAGATTATAAAAAAGAATGTTGTACGATGATTTTTTTTTACCATGTTGCAACTTCATATAAAACTATATTGTAAGCTGTCTTTTCTAGATTTAGTTCAAAATGTTATAATAGATATTATTTAGAATCTTCGTAAATGAGTTTTTAATATTTTTGTAATATTATATATAACTTTTTTCTTTAATTTTCTCATTATGTGCCTATAAATGTGTATGTCTTTCAAAATAAATTGTCATAATGACAAAATCTATATCTGCATATATGCTGACTGTTTGCAAGTAATGCATCATAGACATGCATGAACAGTCATCGATGAGGAATCTCTCATTCTTCACCTTGAGACCATTAACCCTTTGCGGACCAAAGTTTTTCAATTGTATTTCTATTAATCTAATTATTTAAATAAATAATCTAACCGAATAGAATTAAATCGTTTATTGGTGCAAAAGATCTGTTAGAAGTATTACATTTAGAGACAAATTTGAAATCTTCAATTTTAAGAAAATTTGAAGAGCTATTATAGACAAATAATATGATTTAGCATCCGCGAAGAATTAATTGGAGTAGAAAGAAAAATGCACACTCACCTGCACTCGCAAGGGGTGCATCATGAGAAGATGCAACATATCTGTGGGTGGCAATAATTCGCGTAGAGTTGCTCCCTGCTGTCTGATTGCCTGGCACATGAACACTGCGAGATATCGATGAAGCGGTAGATGAAACGACACTTGTAAACTATCACTCTGAAGAAAGATAAAAAAGAGCGTATAAATTATAAAGTATTAGAATACAATCTATGTAAGTATGTACACACGCAGTATGAGAGTTGTACTCACCACATTCGGATCCGTATAGTTTACGGCATCGAGCCAATCTTGCAAAGCTGTAAGGCAAAAGTTAAGCACTCGTTGACTTAATGTTGCACTCTCGGGGCCACGAAGATGCGACACAAGAGCCCACATCGGATACGCGCTGGCTTCCAGTTCAGCACTGAATGCCGCATAATATGTATTGGGCTCAAACTCGACATGTTGACTTAGTTCTCTCTGATTGACATTCATGCCTTGAAACATAGACAAGAAGTCGAACCACATTTCTAGGAGAGTATTATCGCTCATGAATTTAACAGCGACTGGCTTATGTGAGAGTACGTTGTTTAAATCAGATACTAATGGCCAGTAACAGTGCTCCTTCATCACTTGACGTCCGCAATCCACAACATAATGGAAATTTTTATCCGGATCTGAAATAGAAATCTTCCTTTCAATCTTACTGTTCGGTTCAAGTTCACATGCTAACGGTCTTTATTTTATTTTACTCGTACGTACCGTGCAAAGTGTTTTGAATGAGTATTTTGCTCATCATGTATTTCAAACTAATAACCATAACATGTAATAACTTCAATTGATCAACCATTCTTAATGCTAGTTTCTCGTTACTAAAAAGCTGAAAAGTATAAAAGTTCGAAATTAATACGTTATGGAAACAAACTGCAAATAAAAATTTATATGTGTATGTCATAATATTTACTGACTGAGAATTAATAAGATAAATACCTGTACGCTAACGTGAACAACTCTATTGCTCAATGTATCAGGATCCATTGAACGTTCAAGCATCATCGAGATTCTGCTGTAGTGTAACACAAAGGCGCGAGTTAAAGCTTCTTTGTAATCGGGATCCGGCAACATGTTCAAAAGCAGACAGACTAATTTTTGCGGAAACTCGTAAGCGACGGTCCAGAACATTAGTTCTTCCAAGAAAGTGGTATGTTCTAAGTGCTCTTGAAGCGACACACATTCTAAAAAAGCAAATATGTCATAAGTCGTTCATATACGTAAATTATTTTGTCGTGAAAATCGTTATTATTAATATTATCGCGAAATTACCATGAAATTATATTGCAATACTAAATGTACTTACCTTTGTATTCATCTGGGGGTTCGGGATTTGGAAGCGATTTTACAGCATGTTGATATATTTTATTGCTATCCTGGCAATAGCTATCATACTCCGATTGTCCCGTTAACACAGAAGGATCCATGAGACCTCGATATTTCTGCGGATTCGTGAGAGCTGATGTCATGACATGCCTCATTAGTGCGCCCATATTATTCAAGTCGAGCAACATGGTGAGATATGCATCTGCCTCATGTATAGCACTTTTTTGATCAGGCACTCCCATTTTACTAAAATAAGTAAAACAATAATTAATATCATTAAGACTATTATTAACATATATTATAATTTTGTTCCAATTTCATTTCTCGACATTCAAGATCTTTAAAGATCACTAAAAATGATACAAATTTGATAAGCATATTCTCTTTATCTCTTAGAATTAAAAATAAATATAAACATATATGTGAAAAAAAAATTTTGTTTCTAAAGATACAATCACTTTAATTTTAAAAGCAACACGAATTATGCAATTTGAAATCTGTCAGTTTACATCATGCGATAAAAGGTCAGATAAGATATAATTTTTTTACATTCTAATAGTTCAAATATTTAAATATAGAAAGACCTATTTTCCGTTACGATCTTATCACTTAAGAAATTGATAATAACTTACGAAGTATAATGTTCAACATACCAATTTTCACGTAAATGTTGTATAAGTCGAAGAATAATTCTGGGCATCATTGCCTCGGCTACACTCATCAGATCAGACGGTGCAACTGATTTATTTACTGTCGCGTTTGGCCCATGCCTATCACAAAATCTGTAAAATAGAAAACGAGTCAGTAACATGTAAAGAAAAATAATTCAAGAATGTGTTCATAGATCACAAAAAAATTTACGGAAATATGTCAAGATATCTTGCTGGGAAATCATAATATCCCTGACATATCCTTCAAAAGAAAAAGAAAAAAACGAGAGAAATAGTAATATTTAAGAAAAATTATGATATTTTGGAAGCCAAGAGATTTTTCAATATATCCCGCAATTTTTACTGTTCTACAGAATATTGTGTTTGTGTTAATCGATTTACCCAGTCTCCTTCATCACAGACGTATCGCCACAATCACATGCACCACCTGCTTGGCTGAGAAACATGTTGAAGTCGTGACGATAGTGATTTCCCTTCTTGAAACATTCGGTACATAAAGACATACAGGGAGATATGCCACACGTACGACAGCGATACGCTACGAAGTTTGGTGTCCACACTAGACCGCAGGTAGTAGCATTATCGTAAGTGCGTACTAAAAAAAGTAAAAATTTGATTGATAAACAACAGGATTATAGTCTGTTTCCATAATACAATTAATACCACTTTTATAATTTTGTAATCATACATTTTTGTAATTATCATCGAGTTTCCAAGTGTTTACTATTTTATTAAAGTATATTAATAAAAATAATATAATCTGTAAAAAAAGGACACACGTACATTTATATACAAACGAAAATGTTTTGCTTCTAGAGAGTTTTCTCTGAGGTATAACTAAATTCTTCTTAATGTTGTAAATACACAAGATATGAATAGCAATAAGTAATCTAAATAATGTTGCAATTATATGTTACTTACACTTCATATTATTTACGATAAATATTTTAAAAAATTAATGCCTCAGAGTGCACAAAATTGCCCTTATATAACATTTGAAACAGAAACTCAATGTAATTTTTGTAACGTGAGTTAAGCTAACGTCATCGACTATAGCTGCAATTCTATACTTGTCTTCCCATGACTATATGTTTATCTGAAAAATTAGCGTTGCCAAATACGCAAATACTGTATATTTATACCTGCGTGTATAGTTTATAAAATTGCAACATTGCAAATAAGGTATACGAAGCAAAGTAAGTGTTTATTGTAATAAAAAATATAAATTTTATATATTAATCCAATAATAGTTCTTAAAAATTTTATAATTTTGACATAAGATATATTATTTAACTATAAAATTAGCTTCGTTTAAGATTTTCTATCAATAAAATTGCTTATAGATAGAAAAACTTAAATTAATTGCTGCTCATTTTTTAGAGATAAGATTTTAAATAAAACACTAATATTTAAATAACAAAACAGTTATAAATATTTCTATAAAATACAAGGCATTTAAAAAAAGTGGGAGCAAATTTATGCAGAATTTTAAAATATTGCAATGGATAAAAGAGATTTCTAGTATCCAAAAATAGTTTTTTAATTATTTACTAACAA